CGAAATGCCCATAGAGACTGTGTTAAACGCGTTTTCAGGTCCTTGAATGTGCATTGGGCTAAGATAGATAGATCGATTCCTTTAAACACAGTTTCCTCAATAAAGAAAACAAAAACATCTATAGTCAGATTCGGATTTGACTGAATACACTGTTCAGGTAAAGAAGTTGTTGAACTTGTTAACACTCAGCTTCTCAAAATACCTACAAAATTTTTTACTGATTAATTTTTGTCTTTTTTTATTAAGAAATTTCTTTTTATTACTTTTGTGTTTTGTGATTTTTTTGTGGTTCTGAAAACGTCGAGAAAAATATGTCCTTGAAATTTTTTCAAAAATACGCATTCAACAAATCATTAAAGACAAGATGATTTTTTTTAGAATAAAAAAACAAATAAAGTTTTATGTGTCAAGGCTATAACTCGTGTTCAAGATTTCGAACACTCTTTCTGTTTTCGAATTTCAGTTGTGTTTCTTGTTTTCAAATAGAAAGACATTGGTGCGAGCAAAAATTTTCTGCAGCCAGGATTTTTTTAATTTGAAAAAATATCTCAAATTTTTTTTTGATAAATTGCTTTTCAGCATTTTAAGTTTTATTAAAAATTAACTGTATCTGATATTTTGGCGCAGTTTTGATTTACCGAATGTTCTTTAGCAATAGATAGTTTTTCGTGGCCGCGCTTTTTTTCATTTCCAATCATTATAGTTTGAAAAGAAAAAGTATCAATTTAGGTTACGCAAAAAAAAAGAAAAAAAAGCACACCAAATTTCTTTTTTCGCTCTGATTAACAAAATAGCAAATGAAAATCTCAGACAAATTACAAACACAAGAAAAGTTAAACTAAAGAGTTAGGATATGTCACTAGAGTTTTGCGCAGCTATTAGCTGGTTTTCTAACTCAAACCACAGCTCACCTCTGTAAAAACATTCGTCCCTAAAAATACGGAGTATCCTTTCCTCGTCGGAATTTGGAAGCAAATACTTTCAGTGATTTATTTTGGGGAGCAAAAGGCTTTTTTTGGAGATGGAGCAGGGTGGATGATTTTTGAGCAATTGCGTTTTTTCTTGGGTTTGTACGTATTTTTGTTTTATTGAGTTTTTCTCGAGCTTTTTCAGGTCATTGACACTGTTTACTTTCACATATTTTTTGTAATTATCTCCCGGCGATCAAATCAAATGTCTGGCATTTATCAGAAAACTACCCAAGACGTTTTTGAAGTTTATGAACGAGCAATGGGTTATAATGGTTAGAGAAATTCAGTGAAACATAGTTCCCTCAAAAAAGGATACAATAGCATCTATAGTGCCATATTCTAATTTAGATCCAAACTGGATTTAACTGAAAACATAACCGAAGCAAAAAAATTATTCAACTTAATGAAAATGAGCTTCCCAAAATACCTGCCGAGAACTGATAATAAAAAATTGCTCTAATAGGAAAAGTCTGGCAATGAAAAAATTATGAAAAAGCGCTTCCAACAACTCTGAAGTTCCATTGCTCTGTTTTTGGGTTTCAAAGTTCTGCATGCACTTTTAAATCGAAACAATTTTTGGCTCAGGAACAATCTGTTGCAATTAGTGTAAAACTTCAGCGTACTTTTTTACAACCAAAGACCTAAAAAGGTATGCTTTAGGTTCTATTTGCTTACGCAAACAAGTTGGGTACCGAACTCCAAATCAAACAGTTTCTGGAGAATTAAAAGCGCACTGAGCCGAAAGAAATACGATTATCTGCAGTACAGACTTTACTTGGAAACAGTTTTGTAAGTTTTAGTAAGTTTTGTTCTTGGAAACAGACCCATAGAATATTTAGCCCACAACTTTTTTCAACGTCATATTTTATTTTATTCGGCCCAAAAAATGATTGCACTCGTTCCTGAAACGTAGGCATGGTTCCACTTTCTCTTTTTAGAGGCCCGAAAACTTGATTAAATGATAATCTCTCTTGTTTAATGATAGTCATGACCAAAACCCGAAAACTTGATTAAATGATAATCTCTCTTGTTTAATGATAGTCATGACCAAAACCCGAAAACTTGATTAAATGATAATCTCTCTTGTTTAATGATAGTCATGACCAAAACCCGAGTTCTCGAAAGATACAATCACCAAACTCGAATTTGAGTGGTTGTAGAATAAGCTCTCCATTTCGCTGGCCATCCACACAAAATTTGTGGCAATTCTCAACAGCACCGAAACTTACAATCTTTTGTTTTTCCAGATCTCTGCGAATATCTTTTTGTGGGTTAAAAATTTTTTCTTCTAGATTTATTAACAAACTGAAGATCCTATTGATTATGTTCAATTCTTCCTCAAAGTTATCGTTTTGAATGACTATTGCGCTAAAAGTCTCGATTTTTTTGAAAAAACTGCTGAGTATTATTTTGAAGTTTTAAGAAGATTTTGGATAGGTGAGAGATATCAGAAAATGCATCATAGTGTTAATTAATTTATCCTTAGAGCATCAACAAGGTATAGTGCAATAAAAAACATAAAAAAGGATGCTGTGCCTGAACATTTCATATCAATAGGAAAACAAATCAAAACATTTTTTTTCATTTTCTCTTTAAGTTGACGACAACTTATGAGATGCCACAAGAAAAATATGCTGGCAGTGAGAGCTTTTCACCCTTTCCGTCTTCAAAATCTAAGGAAAGTAATTTTGCTCGCTTTTTGACAATTAACATAAATTTTCCATTTAGATGATTACAAATTTGCTGGGTATTTTTGCACAATTAACAGTACAAATCACGAAACTGAAATAACAAATGGATCCCAATCACACAAATTCTCTGAATGCGCGATGAACTACTAATTTGAAGTTTTTGCAGAAGTCGTTCACTGCATGCATTGGATGGATTGTATGGCATGTATTGGATGACTGCAAACTCACGGGTAATATCATTGAGATACGCAGTTTAGTTTTTGACACGGCCTTTTGATTTTGCATTTTCTGGCGGAATGAAAAGCCGTCAAACAGTTAAAACACGCAGGTTTCTCTTTCACTCCATCAGGTTTTTCTGAAACCGTTATATTAAGAAGAAGTCGGCAAGGGGCCTTTCTCTGCAAAGCTGATGCAAGTAGCAAGCAAAAATCAACCAGCAATCAGCACCTGCTGTTCAAAATCCTCATATTTTCAAGAAATGTTGAGGGAATTTTCAACTATTTCTTTTGCTCTAGTGCAATATTTAAAACATCTAGAGGTCTATTTTTCATCGTTTTTCGATCCTTTCTTGTTCTCCCCTTCTGTGGCAATTTTTTTTCCGGAAAACATGGCTGTTTTATTGAGCTGTTTTGATTTTTGAGTCTCTTGCCCGAAAACAATTTTTTTTAGCTTAGCTTGCTATTTCGATTATACCAATTAAATTGAAAAGACGTTCTATTTCACTGTCTCTGAGCGTTTGAAGTGTTTTTACAGTTTTATCGTCAGCAAAAACAGTTAAAACCTGACATTGGAAAACCTATTTGAACTCACGTCAACCGTTCCTGTTTCGAACATTCAGGTATTTATTTTTTGTAAAGGAGTTCTGTTACTCTAAAAAGTCTCCTGAACCCCCAGAACGTAAAGTTGATTGTGCAATCGTTGAAAACATTATAAGCCTCGCTGTCTGTTTCTAAGAGTTATGGACTGTTCATAGTGATATAAAACAAATTGCCTGATGCGAACAAACTTCTTAATTTCCAAAGAAACCTAGTGGAAAAAATTCAACTCAATTGTCTAAATTTTTCTATAATACCTAATATCAGGGACAATGTTAGACATCGTTTACGTAACATGATATCAAAAATTTTACATCGGCCGACTGCATATGATCCCACCTTCCATCTTTGGAAGTCCTCATTTTTGATTTGAAGCAGTTGCTAATTTATTTCTGGTCCGAGAAAGCCAACTTTCACTATATCTGACCGGTTTTTCCGACGGTGCGAAAAAATAAAAAACAGCAGGGTTGAGGCAAATTATGAAATTGAGCTAAAAATTTTTCCCTATGAAAATGTTTCACATCACTTGATCAACTTTCCGTTTATGCAAGAAAATTATCGCTGTCACATCTTTTTTACAATAGAGGAAAAACGCTTTTTTCAGGCCCAAACACAACTGGTAGCTGCTCGAAATCAAACATCGATCTTTTCATACAGGTTCGGTGCGCGGTAATTTTGTTTACGGGGTGTAACAACATTCTTCGTGAAATCAATTAATTCTTTATATTGATTGGTTTGTGATAAATTGCTCAAAACATTCAAAACCCATTAGTTTTACATGGGTTTTACAAAGAAAAAACATTTTTCTTTGCTTCATTTTCACATGTAGTTTATGGTTACAAAAAAAATGTTTTTAATCAAAAAAACCAAGAAAGATGTGTTACGGTTTCACTCTTGTGTTATAAAGCGCATAACACAATTTTTTATACTCATGTGCATCAATTTTGTTAAAGATTGAGTTGATAAACACTTCCAAATTGGTAGACTTTGTCAATTATTATATTTTTTTGAATGTTGACTAATAATACTCTTCCAACAGGCACACACAATGTCTTGCAAGTCGTAGAAACCACAGTAGTGATCGCACTTAAGGCTTCGATATCTGGCAACAAAAATGGATCGGAGCCGAACCCCAGTTAAATTTTGTCTCTGAATTGCAAATCGTTTTTTCTAGAACTTCGAAAGTTTCAGGTAATATACAGCAGTTTTCAATTTCGAATTAAATTATATGTATTATTTGCCCTGTGAAATTGGAAAAATGAGTAGCTAGTAAAAAACGGCTGAATTGATTTCTAACATTAAAAAAGTGCGGTGGTTCGCTTTTTGCAAATTCTGCAAATCGCTTTTTTGATATACCCAATTTTTTGTTCTCCACAAATTTTGTGCCCTATATCCAAGTAACGAGAATAATGTCCTATAAAAACTATTTTATACATTTTCAGCTGCTTAAAATCTTAATAATTGTTAAAATTCATGCTAACAAACAAATGCAAAAAACTACGTCTCTTCAAGGAAAATCAAGATTTTAAATAAATATTTAAAATTGCATATATAAGACACTTTACATTTATCATGCAGAATTCATTTTTAAAATACTGAAATATACATCAAATCGACAAGGCTTGCTTTATGTAATGAAAATTTACATTCCGAGTTTAAGCATTGAAAATAGACAATTTCAAACAAATTTAAAGTAATGCGCAGTTGGGTTACAAAATTTAATGAAAATAATGTTATCTAAAATTATCAAATGAAAATTGCGTGCAATAAATTATGGACACTTAAAATACACAGTGAAGCTGATTTGTTTGCTCGATTGGAAAAGTTTTTTCTTGATTCAAAATGTTCAAAACTGCAGGTGACAATATACATTTATCATTTCAAATCCATAGTAGTTCAACTTTATATGAAAGATGCAAACTGTATATAATAACATCCAACACTTCCGACTAAGCGTACCTTGCTCAACACCCGTGTAAATTTCTCCACTCAACTGTTGTTGTGACTTTTCTAGATAGTTCTAGAAAAAGCTAGACTATTCTTTCTTCTGTGGGAGTCGCTATCTATCGCAAATCAGGTCCATTCTGTTCGGCGACGTTTCTAGGCATCTGACCGACTACGAGGAGCACTTTGCCGACGTTTTTGTGGTCCTGCATTCTAGTCATCGAATCAGTCACCTCCTCCATCGCCCAAGTAGAGTCAATGACCTTCAAACAAAAGCAAACTAAGAAGGCCCCTGCTCTCACACTGTTGTCAAAGGTGACAAGGAACTAAGGCCAAGGGTAGTTTCATCGTCATCATCATCATAACCGGTTTTAGTATTTAAGGTGCTGCGGTAGTCCCAGTCACTGGGGTCGGCAACACCTGGCAACGTCTAACTCCAGTGGTTTGAACAGTGATTTCACGAACATACAACAAGCTCGCAGTAGATCGAAAATGGTATCATATCAAAGTCTTTTTAATGATTCGGAATCCCATAAAATAGTATGAAATTTTTTTCTAAATGTAGAAAAAAATGACTGAAACGACTAATAGCTTAAAACTGCTATTCATACTAAATTTCCGCCAGAGAGTTGCGATTTGTCGCTGAAACCACCAGCGGATTTAGGGGGGCGGACGCTCCCCTCCACTCAGGAACTATGTTCGGCGAATTCTGTTCTGGTATCCGTTTTTTTGGTGACGGACCCTAAAATTTTTTCTAAGGTAATAATTTTGAGGTCAACAATTTCCAAAAAGTGCCTAAGAACGCCTTTTTTGGCCTGTTTTTTCAAAATTTGGTCAGCAGAAAGTCTGGTCAAAATGGGGTCTTTATAGTGATTTAGGAGAGATCAGAAAATTAATTTGGTCGACCTAAAAAATAAAGAAAAAAAGTTCGACAAATTTTTCGAAATTTTTTGAAAATCCTCCCCCTACCCTCGAAAAAATCCTAGATCCACCCCCTCCCCTCCCCTCTAGAAAATCCTAGATCCGCCCCTGGCTAAAACAGTGGATGCTCAGAATTTTTTCAACTATTTTCAACCGTATTTAAGCCAATTTCAGCTGACATTTTAAGCTGAATTTTTCTTTCTCTTGCTACTGAGAAATTTCGAGGAACTTTGGTTTTTAAAGCTTTTGTTTCGAATATTCTTAAGAACTCATTGTTGCAGTTATTTCTGTAGTCGGAGCATTCTTTGCTTTTTGTCAAGTAACGGGCTACATTTGTGTGTCTTATCTTATCTGTTGTTTGTCTTGTCTTATCAAAATTCTTCTGAGGAGGGGTTCCCTGAGGAGGATCTCGTTAGAACAAACGACTCGTTATACTTGAAGACAAATTTCCGAACTCAACAACTCAGTACTGCTGCATGCATTGCTGAATAACCAACCCATTCTACTTATTAGATACACTGCTAGGATGAGGTAAAAGGTAGCGTGGTTGGAGTTGGTCGCAGATTTACACAAAATTCCTCGCAAAATGTCGGCCTCAATGTAATTTTAACTGATCCCCTGACCCACTAAATGTAGAACCTGTCTTTATTAAACAAAGTTATTTTAGTGTTTTTCTTGCAATGAAATTGGCCGTGTGAACCAAGTTAACATCCTTCCGAAGCCATTGGGGGGATGTTAACTTGGTTCTAAGTTGGAAATTTTCAGCCAAACAGAATCGAGCATTTTACTTGCAACGGTTAGCAATTTTATTCTTAGACAGATACTGGGGTGGAATATCTTAACTTGGCTTAAATGGGGTGGGAGAGGGAGAGGGGAGGATGTTAACTTAATGCGGCCATATAATGTGGAGCTTTAGTGAATATCATAATGGATATATTACAATAGTGAAAAATTGCAAATTTTTGGTTATAAAGAAGCAGTTTCTAAAGTTTTGACAGCCGCATTGTTTAGTTTTGTCACGCGACTATAAAAGCATAGACTAGATTGATGGGAAACAGTAAAAAAAAAAGAAGTTACTGGTTTGATTTTGCCCTCTTTGTAGAGTTTGAAGAGGTCCTTGACCACATCCTGCACCAGTGCGTGTTGTCCCTGGTCGAACAGGAGGTTGATGAGGTTGAAGCCCCCCACTGATCGGTTGTCGTCGAACAGCTTGATGGGGTTGACCTTCTCCACCTGCCACCACTGGTTCACTTTTTGAGTCGGAAGCCACTTGGACAATGGAGTCGAAGTGATCTGCTTCGTGTAACCTACCAATCAGCTCACGCTCACATATTGCGCAATCAAATTTAACAATGAACAAAGATATAGTTTTAGGCAGTTACTTATCAACATAATTTAAACTTCAAACTAAACAAGACTGCTCGTATCAGGGCGAAGCCCTGGTTGTTCCGACTGCCTTTTAAGGTTTTATGGAGCAGAATAATAACATTAAAAAAATAAATGTAATAAAATGAAGTGAAAATTTTTTTTTCTCTAAAATTTGAAACTTTTTATGAAAATAATCCCCCCTCCCACACGCCATGTAAAGTACAAAAAAGATTTAGCTCCTTGTAACAAATCAATTATGGCAAATAAGCTCAACCAATTTAGAACGATTTTAAGACGGATTAACTCTCCGCTTGCGCGTTAATAGCGCAAAATAATCACACGTGAAATATCTTTTCAAATTTGAGCTCAGGACAACAATACCTTTTGAATGATAAAAAAAAATCCGTCGAAAATGGCTAATTAAAAAGTCGAAATTTGTCTGAAGAAAAAAAACCCACCCCGAGCACAAATATTTCGTTACTTTCGTATCGAAAGTCGGAACAAAAAGCTGAACTTAAATAAACTAAATCGAAACAGGACACATGATTATTCAGGGTATTTCCGAGAAAGTCGAAAATTATCATGCCGATTATCAATTTAACAAACTGAAGCAGCTTTTGGTTACAGAAACATTCAAAAAATATTGAAAAATATTTTTAAAATTTTGAAAAGTTGTCCATTCCGAAAATAGTCTAAGCCAATCTGGAATGGTTTTGATCCGCATTGATTCGCGATATGAATGGAGCAATTGTTTCCAGACTGTAATGCTGAACCAAGAGCTGCTGTATCACTCCGATGAAGGTTGAGAGCGTCGGCTATTGAACTCAAACAAAGAATAGCTCCTTCAGCAGCTTTGTATAAATTACATGGATAACTTTAGAAAATTCTGTACTCGTGGTAGTTGCAAACTCTAATGGATGGAGTTCGATGACCTAACCGTTTTTGCCCAAATTGAATTGATTGTTCTCTTCCTTGTCTTTTGAACTGAATTGTACTCTTGTGTTTTAATGTAATTCGCACTGCTCTAATTTGTTGCTAACATCGTGGTCTTCTTCTGTTAGCGCCTAGTTGTTCCGACTTTCGATACGAAAGTAACGGAATATTTGTGCTCAGGGTGGGTTTTTTGTTTCTTCAGACAAATTTTGACTTTTTAACTAACCATTTTTGACGGAATTTTTTTATAACATTCAAAAGGTATTGTTGTTCTGAGCTTAAGTTTGAAAAGATATTTCACCTGTGATCATTTTTCGTAAAGTTATGGGGTTTTGAAATTTGGCATTTTGGCCAATTCGGGACAATTAACGCGCGATATATTTCGCGCTGTTAACGCGTAAGCGAAATTTAATCTGTCTTAGAACTCGTTCCAAATTGTTTGTAAGAAGCTTATTTGCCATAATTGATTTGATAAAAGTAGCGAAATCTATTATTTTGTAGTTTTAATTCCGTGCGGGTGGAGATTTCAAAAAAAAATTCAAATTTTAGATTTTTTTATCGTTTTTTTTCTTACATTTAATTTTTTAATGTTTTAACTGCTCCATAATTCTTAAAAGCAGTCGGAACATTCAGTGCTTCGCCCTGATACGAGCAGTCTTGTTTAATTTAGGAAGCCTCGGAACAATTATTAGCTCCATTATTAGCTGACAGTTTTCGCTTTTTGCGCGCGCGTTTTCCAAGATCTTTCTCGTTTCGTTTTTATTCTAGAATTATCTGCCATTGGGTTTAAGAAAATTTAAATTCAATCGTAAATGAGATTGTCATCCAAACTCGAAAGCAACAAGACTGCTCGTATCAAGGCGCAGCCCTGAATGTTCCGACTGTGTTTTTAGTTTTATGGAGCAGTAATAATAAAAAAAAATATAAGTATTATAACAAAATGAAAAAAAAATTTTTTCTAAAACTTGAGTTATTTTTTTTTTAAAATCATCCCCCCACACGCCATATAAAGTACAAAATATATATTTCGCCCCTTGTAACAAATCAATTATGGCAAATACGCTTCTTTCAAGCAATTTGGAACGATTTCTAAGACGGATTAACTCTCCGCTTACGCTTTAATAGCGCAAAATAAATCGCGCGTTAAGTGTCCCAAATTGGCCGAAATGGCAATTTTTAAACCCCCATAACTCTACAAAAAATAATCACAGGTGAAATGGTTTTTCAAATTTGAGCTCAAGACAACATTACTTTTTGAATGATAAAAAAAAATTCAGTCAAAAATGGCTACCTAAAAAGTCGAAGTTTGTCTGAAGAAAAAAAACCCAATCCAAGTGCAATATTCCGTTAATTTTGAATCAAAAGTCAGAACAACAAGACTGCTCGTATCATGGCGAAGCCCTGAATGTTTTGTCTGCCTTTTATGGTTTATGGAGCAGTAATAACCTTAAGAAAATAAATGTAACAAAACAAAATGAATAAGTTTTTTGGTAAAATTTGAAATTTTTTGAAATAAAAATCATCAACCCACACGCCATATAAAGTACAAAAGGATAAATTTCTCTCCTTGTAAAAAATCAATTATGGCAAATAAGGTTCTTTCAACCGATTTTGAACCATTTCTAAGACGGGTTAACTCTCCGCTTATGCGATGATAGCGCAAAATAGATCGCGCGTTAATTGTCCCAAATTGGCCGAAATGGCAATCTTTAAACCCGCATAACTTTACGAAAAATGATCACAGGTAAAATATCTTTTCAAATTTGAGGTCAAGATAACAATAGCTTTCGAAAGATATTAAAAAGTTCCGTCAAAAATGGCTAGTTAAAAAGTCGAAATTTGTCTCAAGAAAAAAAACCCACCCCGAGCTCAAATATTCCGTTACTTTCGTATCGAAAGTCGGAACAACAAGGATTATTTTATACGTCAATTGTGTCTGCTGTATTTTCGTTCATATCAATAAATCACGACCAGGAAAGCTATATAACAGATCATTGAGATAAAACTAACAGTATGTCAGCTCAAAAAAAATTATAGAAGGTTCGTTCGATTTTCTCAGATAACTATAATAATTGTGTCATCAGTTTTTGCAGTTGAAGGACAGAAAATTGAAATTGAGATCTCTTTGGGATAACTCATGTTTGTTTTATTGTAGAGAGGCCACTCGTGTCAGTAATTATTGTTCCGACTTTCGATACGAAAGTAACGGAATATTTGTGCTCGGGGTGGGTTTTTTTTTCTTCAGACAAATTTCGACTTTTTAACTAGCCATTTTTGACGAAATTTTTTTTATATCATTCGAAAGGTATTGTTGTCCTAAGCTCAAATTTGAAAAGATATTTCACCTGTGATCTTTTTTCGTAAAGTTATGAGGGTTTAAAGATAGCCATTTTGGCCATTTTTACCAATTTGGGAAAATTAACGCGCGATATCATTCGCGCTATTAACGCGTAAGCGGACATTTAATCCGTCTTATAAATTGTTCCAAATTGGTTGAACGAAGCTTTTTTGCCATAATTGATGTATTACAAGGAACGAAAACTCTCTTTTTGTACTTTATATGGCGTGTGCAGGGATGATTTTCAGAAGAAAAAAAAATCAAATTTTAGAAGAAAAAAATTTCATTTTATTTTATTTCATATAATGTTTTTATGTTATTACTGCTGCTCCATAAACCTTCAAAAGCAGTCGGAACATTCAGTGCTTCGCCCTGATACGAGCAGTCTTGTTTAATTTAGGAAGCCTCGGAACAATTATTAGCTCCATTATTAGCTGACAGTTTTCGCTTTTTGCGCGCGCGTTTTCCAAGATCTTTCTCGTTTCGTTTTTATTCTAGAATTATCTGCCATTGGGTTTAAGAAAATTTAAATTCAATCGTAAATGAGATTGTCATCCAAACTCGAAAGCAACAAGACTGCACGTATCAAGGCGCAGCCCTGAATGTTCCGACTGTGTTTTTAGTTTTATGGAGCAGTAATAATAAAAAAAAATATAAGTATTATAACAAAATGAAAAAAAAAATTTTTCTAAAACTTGAGTTATTTTTTTTTAAATCATCCCCCCACACGCCATATAAAGTACAAAATATATATTTCGCCCCTTGTAACAAATCAATTATGGCAAATACGCTTCTTTCAAGCAATTTGGAACGATTTCTAAGACGGATTAACTCTCCGCTTACGCTTTAATAGCGCAAAATAAATCGCGCGTTAAGTGTCCCAACTTGGCCGAAATGGCAATTTTTAAACCCCCATAACTCTACAAAAATAATCACAGGTGAAATGGTTTTTCAAATTTGAGCTCAAGACAACATTACTTTTTGAATGATAAAAAAAATTCAGTCAAAAATGGCTACCTAAAAAGTCGAAGTTTGTCTGAAGAAAAAAAACCCAATCCAAGTGCAATATTCCGTTAATTTTGAATCAAAAGTCAGAACAACAAGACTGCTCGTATCATGGCGAAGCCCTGAATGTTTTGTCTGCCTTTTATGGTTTATGGAGCAGTAATAACCTTAAGAAAATAAATGTAACAAAACAAAATGAATAAGTTTTTTGGTAAAATTTGAAATTTTTTGAAATAAAAATCATCAACCCACACGCCATATAAAGTACAAAAGGATAAATTTCTCTCCTTGTAAAAAATCAATTATGGCAAATAAGGTTCTTTCAACCGATTTTGAACCATTTCTAAGACGGGTTAACTCTCCGCTTATGCGATGATAGCGCAAAATAGATCGCGCGTTAATTGTCCCAAATTGGCCAAAATGGCAATCTTTAAACCCCTGTAACTTTACGAGAAATGATCACAGCTGAAATTTCTTTTCAAATTTGAGCTCAAGACAACAATACCTTTCGAAAGATATCAAAAACTTCCGTCAAAAATGGCTACATAAAAAGTCGAAATTTGTCTAAAGAAAAAAAACCCAGCCCGAGCACAATATTCCGTTACTTTCGTATCGAAAGTCGGAACAACAAGACTGCTCGTATCAAGGCGAGGCCCTGATTGTTCCGACTGCCTTTTAAGGTCTATGGAGCAGTAAAAAGATAAAAAAAATTATGGTCTACTTAACAGTCCCCCCCCCCTATGGTACCTACCTAAGAGTATCCACCCCTATAAATGAATACAGTAAAATAGCACTAAACAATTCCCCTCCTCCCTTCTCTCTTGAAAGGGGTGGAGATTGTTAAGTAGATCCAAAATTACATGTAAGAAAATAAAATGAAAATTTTTTCTAAATATTGACCTTTTTTAAAGAAAATCATCCGCCCGCACCCCATGTAAAGTACAAAAGGATAGATTTCGCTCCTTTTATTAATTACGGCAAATAAGCTTCTTTCAACCAATTTGGAACTATTTCTAAGACGGATTAAATCTCCGCTTACACGTTAATAGCGCGAAATATATCGCGTTAATTGTCCCAAGTCGATCAAAATGGCAAACTTTAAACCCCCATAACTTTACAAAAAATGATCACAGGTGAAATATTTTTTCAAATTTAAGTTCAGGACAAAAATCTTTTTTGAATGGTATAAAAAAACTTCCGTCAAAAATGGCTAGTTAAAAAGTCGAAATTCGTCTGAAAAAAACCCACCCCGAGCAGAAATATTCCGTTGTTTTCGTTACGAAAGTCGGAACAAAAACGCTAATGTCATCTCAAAACGTTCAAAACGAAAAAGTTGTGGACTTCTAGTTTCCAGTTGCGGTTAAACCAAAGCCAGATGGTTTAAAGTTACAAGGGGTGCCAGCCCTGTCCATCAACGAATTCCTTCTCCGGCGGTCATTTGAGACCATGAATCATTCGCTACATCAAATATTTTGCCGCTGGTAATTTCCATGCCTGCCAAGTCAACATCAAATGAGAAAAGAGATTCGTTAGACAGCCACTTTCCGTTCCAGTTCAGCTAGTGAGTCTCGATGAGCTTTGTCCAACTGTCAATGTCGATCGGTATACCAGCGAGACATGAAAAGTGAATTTTTCTGGGTCGTCTGCCAGATAAGCGTTTTACTCTGTTAGTCTGACTGGAGCCAGCTCTTCTTTTGCCTCTGTTTTCCTTCTTAGAAATCCATAGCAGCGGTATAACTGTTCTTACTCTGGATTCTTAAAAGTAATTTTTGAGTTCAGGCTCGCCGAAAATCTTGGCCGGCACGATGTGGCAAGTATAGCATTCCCTTATTTCTAGGATTTTTCCTCATAAAACAATCGCATTATTCTTGCACTTGGAAGTTTAGTAGCCACATAACTGAAGCTTCACCCATCTTGTATTATTCCTTTGGCTCATTTTGATGCATTTTTGATCAGTTGGTGATTTGATAGTTCAAGTGTAGCAATTTTGGAAGTGCTTAAAATATATCATTTTCTCAGTTGTTACAAGTTATTGTTGTGGGTTCAAATCAAAAGAATCTGCAGAATTAATTTTTTTTAATTGAAAAAAGTTTAGAAAAAAACCCTCGAATTGTTGTTAGTTTCTTGGCTTTTCAGTTTCTGAAACAGTTGAATTTTGACAAAACACTCGACAGTACTCTTGTTGACCAGGATGGGCAATGTCTTCCAAATTATTACAAAGATAGCCCATCATCGTCTACTAGGGTTGTAAAAACAATAGATGGGCTGTAATAAAACTAACGGTCCATGCTGTTTAGGCGAAAAGCTGCATTAAATAACCAGTCTGGCAGCTTAATTTTTCAAATAATTTTGGTGCTCAGTTTTTGGATTTTTTTTATAATAAACAATTTCTCTTAGACTACGTTTCCATTAGTTTTTTGTGTCTTTTTGCAGAAAAATCAAAGGTATTGTATTTTTTTTGAAAACTGAGCAAACAAGTGCACAAACATTAATTTCAAGACAACATAGTGCAATAAGTATTAACTGTCTTTAATTTCCCTCATCAGACAAAATGACAGAAAATAACCCTAAACTGGATTCATTAGTTGCAAATCCCTTTTACCCGATTTGTTCCCTCTCCAGTTTAGGACAACCAACACGTCCCTTCTAATTACGTAATTACATAAATTTCAAAACCTATTTTCAATACATACATATCAAATACTTTTTGAGATTTGAAATAGAGATAAGCTTAAAAAATATTGGTCCAAAAATCTCGGGCTTCCTAGTTTCTTCAATTTACATGTGTTGCAAGCGAGCATCTAAGATGAACAAAAAAGCAATAGGAACTAAAGCACGCGATACAGACTTAACTGTGTCAATACATACTACTACCGTTGCAGGCTGCAGGCTGCAGGCTAAGTTTTGCGCGACACAATTGCACAGGACTTGCAGGCTTGGTGATCATGATCGCAAAAGAGTGCAGGCTGCAGATCTATTTCGATGCAGGTAAAAAAAGGTTAAAAAAACGTACCGAAATTGGCCAAAGGGGAGGACAAACCTAGGATGCTACTCTTGGCTTGTGACGTCACACTAGCCGCCGCTCCCGCCGCACCCCCGGCTGCTCCTCCGGCGGGTTGCGACGGTAGGTCATTGACTAGGGAACTCGCGGATCCGTAGAGCACGTAGTGGCCCATGGGCTTGACGAGATTGATGCCCTTGGCGACATCTTCGCCCGAGAGAGAGTCGAGAACTATGTCTACTCCGTAAGGAGAGAGACGCTTCACTTCTTCCACGTAATCTAAATAAACCAGTCATCATTGTTGCTGAATTACCGATAACAAAATTGAATTCAACGTTTCCTTAATTTTTCTTTGAAAAAAACTGACTTAACAGAGGGGCGTATTGAGGACTTGGAATTGAACGTGAAAAAAATTGCACGGAGAAACGCTAAATTTTGAAAAACAAGGCGGTTGCTCCCACTCAAACTTCCCACCCAATAACAATCCAACTTTGGTACCGTTTACGAGAATCTATTTTTGTATTGGTGATAAAATTTATTTCAACGGTTTGGAACCTGATCTAAACTACATTTTATGATTGGATAAATTAGATATTTTACCACTGTAAAGTATTTAATATTAACCAATCATGATCCATCTAACTAACAACCCACTTATTTGTAAGTGCTGAAATTACTTGTAATTTCAGCACCAGAGAGATTTGAATTTAACTTAGAATTTAGTTGCCTCTCCTAAGGAACTTCAGCAGCCGCAATAAACCAGTATACCCTAGATCTATTGAGCCTAGCAGAGACTAGTTAAACAACCTGAGACTAGATAGTATAAGAGTAAGATTAGTATCGGTATTAGACTAAGAAGTTGCACGAAAATAAGATATTGAAAATCAAAATAAAAATTAGTAGCATGACAATAAACTGTTAGTAATCATAAAAATCATCTGTAGTCCCAGCTTCATCACCTAAACATAACAGCTCACTAAACATCAAAAACTAAAATTTTGAACAATTTAAACCATTTTAAACTTAAAATATAATTTTAAAATCAGATCATCAAGGCTTATCCTTGGATCTACATTAAATTTTTCTATTTCATTACATTTAAAACTTGATCATCAAGGCCTATCCTTGGATCAAAAAAAACAATTTTGTTCTCCCCCACCCACTTAGCTAGTGTCTAACGACCTCAAACGTCGATTCACTATCCAACCCTTTCAAAAAACCCAAGACTAATAGAAATTTTTGAACAACACTAATCATTCAAATTAGGATAAACAGTGAAGAACTTCGGTTATTCATCCTTCACTTGAACCCTCCTCTTATCAAGACCCAGGATAAATCATAGACTTAGTAAGTTTAAAATAGTATCTAACGAACTACTCACGTTCTAATTATACCTGAACCTTGTGGATCGATTTACTATTCTCCAACCCTTGAACACAATCATTACCCCTAAGTAAGATTAAGTAAGTTAACACCTTAGCTTATATTAGCCACGAGAAAGTAAAAAATCATTCTTCGGAATCGATATACTTTTCTCTCCAACCCTGAACAAATAGACCCAGGTTAAGCTAACCAAAAAATCGTAAGGACTAACAATTTAAGAAAATAGAAATCATCTAACAACTTTTTGCATCCGTCATCCTAAACCTTATGTCATTTAAAAATCTAGGAAATAAACAAACAATCGTTTTACACAACTGTGAAATAGATAACAAAAAATACGACCTTGTAATCACACCTCATACACAAACAGTTGGATATATTAGAACAAAACGACAAACACTAAAAAGGAAAATAATAAACAAACAAAGACAAATAACACGAAAAAGATTTTCCAAAAATAGAAACGCATTTTCAGAATCAGAAGCCAGCAATTTAGACGAACTTTATAAATTAAAAGAATCTATAGATAAAAATTGCCCCATTCACGATCAATTATATTTTTCCGACTCAGAAACAACTTCAAATTCATCAAAAAGAGGAAAAAGAAGAATAAAAAAGCAATATAAACACAGACCAGTACATTTATATAATTGGAATCAACCAATTAGACATATCGATAATTACCTATTAACAGTCATTAAACGAAAAAATGAGCCAAACACACACCCCAAGTGAAGATAGTCCAGATGATGACGATATCTACCCCTTCCTCGTAGATGCACCCAATGATAGAGGACAGCATATACTTTGCAAGAATTTACTCCTAAATTTATTTGAACCCGGAATCAGCCCATGTAAAGCAAGGTTCCCAGATGTAAAGATCAAAAGACAAATTATTGATCACTATCTGAAAGATATATGTAATTTGACACAACATTACGGAATCTACACCATAGAATTCAGCTCACCAAACCCGAATCACCACAAATATGTAATTCAAACAGACGACCTTGATTTAGAATTTTCAAAATTATTCTCAGAATACATAAAAAGCATACAATATCATAACTCACAAAGAGCAAACTCCATATTCACTAATGAAGTTTTTGCCATAATATATAGTTATATCTCAATATTAGAAAACGAAATTCCAATCCCAAGTGTCTCACCGACAGAGACATCTAAACATATAAGGGTACGACATGAAATCACACTATTTTCAACTTTCCTACATATAATTAAAGAAAATTTTACTAAAGATGATGTTTCACAACATACAAAACATGACTTACAAAAAATTTTGGCATGGTTTATAATAGATTATTTCACACATAATATAGATTTAATTTCACAAGCAAGAAAAAATTTCAGACCTCAAAATTCAAACGATGATACCGCTATCACAGAACAATCAGACTACGTTTGGGACCCCGAATGGTCTCATTATGCATTTATAAATATCCCACAATCAATTGCAAGTCAAGCAATAAGTACAATATCTTATACAAGAGATTATGTAAGAGTAGTACCATTAACCATTGATGCAACGCCATTAACTACAATACATTTCTACCTGATACGCGAAATAACAGCTTAAACTCGACCGTCATACACAATGAAAACCTTAATGGAACTAGGAATCTCACTCAGCAAGATATTCAGACACCATCACACTTCATAAATGAAGAAATTGTACAAACAACAACAACTACACAACAAAGTATTTCACCAATACGTCCAAATTTAACAACACCAAGAAGTACAAACACTTCACTAGCACAGGTAACCTTACAATCAACCGTTAAACCTTCGGTTGCTCCAAAATATTCACAAATGGATTCTCAAACATATAGACCCATGACAATACCGTCAAAAACACGCAGAACATTCACAAGAAACACTTTTGCGGAACACAATTATAATTATACACATTCATCAAAAACAAACTATCCCCCACGAAAAAATAATAATAATCAGATAAGATCTCGCTATTGGGATAATCCAATGGCAACAACCAACTCAGTAAATTTTCAAACTAATTCACATCCTCCACAGGATCGTAGTGAAAATTACCCATTCTTTCAACAGAATAAAAATAAAAAACAAGCACCTCATCAAACGGATTACATATCCTCTGATGATGATTATTTACAACCAGATATGTTTGCACCATATACTCAAGAATATCGTGGACAAGGAGTGCAAAAACCATATACATATCATAGGATTTTTTCCCCACATCAAATAGATACACAAAATCAACAACCAATACAAATGCAAAACCCAATTATAACACAATCTTTTCAACCAATTCAGCCACAAAACCCAATGATTACACATTCGTATCAACCAACACAAATGCAAAATGAAATACCACTTCCATATTACCTTCAACAACACGAAATAACAAAAACTCAACTTTCGAATTTTTCAAAAATGCCAAATGCAGCAGAATCATTACAAATGACAATGAATCCATACCTTATGGGTGAATCATCAATAACATCAAACAAACCATTAATGGTATTCACAGGAACAGACCCTGAATATTCTGTAGAAGATTATTTAAATGCAGTAACAGCAAATTTAATTTTAAATATAGGACCTGAACCAATTAATACGCCACTACATCAAAACTGGATACATCGACGCACAGCGTTGATACAGACAACCTTAGACGGCGCAGCCCAAAAATGGTTTTCAGTATTGCCTATAGAAATAAAATCAAACTGGAAAAGATTTACACAAGAATTTTCAAAAATGTTTGACTCCGAGAGGAACAAACAACAACAAAGAGTTTTATGTAATGAAATTCGCAGATTACCAAATGAAACCATCAAACAATTAGCAGTACGTATCGAAACACTAGTTCGAAAAGCATATTCATTAAATACACACGACTATAAAAACACAAAAATGACAGAAATCTTAATGATGACCTTAACACCTCAATTAAGGAAAATAGCAATAAAAAAGAGAGCATCCCATCCCTCCTCAATTCGAGAGCCCGATTTAGATTTTCGAAAACTAGTAGACAAAGTAGAGCAAGCGGAAATCACAATGAAACTTGAAGAAACAGAAAATCTGAAATGACAATATGTTAACCGAATTGAAACAAATACCACAAATATCAACAATATACAGGAATCAGATACAGACCTCGTTGAAAAAATCACTGAAATACTCAATATTTATGAAAAGCACCCAAACTTTAAAGGCAAACCATCTTTCAAAAAATGGTGTAATTATTGCCGACGATACGGACATAGTATTGCTGAATGTAGACAAAAACAACAGGACAATCAAAACAAACCTCAAAAATATAAAGAACCAAATAAATCATTCTATCAATACATGAAGAAAGATCAAAATCTACCAAACAAAAATGTATACAGCAACAACATTACGGAATCTACACCATAGAATTCAGCTCACCAAACCCGAATCACCACAAATATGTAATTCAAACAGACGACCTTGATTTAGAATTTTCAAAATTATTCTCAGAATACATAAAAAGCATACAATATCATAACTCACAAAGAGCAAACTCCATATTCACTAATGAAGTTTTTGCCATAATATATAGTTATATCTCAATATTAGAAAACGAAATTCCAATCCCAAGTGTCTCACCGACAGAGACATCTAAACATATAAGGGTACGACATGAAATCACACTATTTTCAACTTTCCTACATATAATTAAAGAAAATTTTACTAAAGATGATGTTTCACAACATACAAAACATGACTTACAAAAAATTTTGGCATGGTTTATAATAGATTATTTCACACATAATATAGATTTAATTTCACAAGCAAGAAAAAATTTCAGACCTCAAAATTCAAACGATGATACCGCTATCACAGAACAATCAGACTACGTTTGGGAC